GGCCCAAAGTGAATAAACGATGGAGAGAAGAGAAGAGGGGGTACGGTTAAATACTTGAGGGTTGTTTTATGTAGCTTGAAAAAAATATAGAAGGAGGGTCTACCGTGAAATAAGATGGGGAATTAAGAGTCTCTACGAAATTTTCCCTATTTTAAATAGTAAAAAGAGTAAAATTGTTTGATGAAATCAAGGAGAGCATATGTTAAAATAGGGAACAAACAATATATGTGGGGAACTTGCTTGGGGGGGGTGGCGGTCCTCCCTCAGGATCTAACTCAAACAATTTCGGAGCCAAAGCCCGAGTGGAGCTCGCTCCTCCCATCAAGGGATACCTCGATATCTATCTTAGAAGGATCTCGATCAGTAATTAAAAGGGTTTTGGATCGCTTTGGAAGGAGATCGCAACACCACTGAAAATGGTATGAAACGATCTCAGTTCTAGAAGTTTCAAAAAATTTGAAAATTAAACCAACAACATTTTTCTTTTTAGAAAAATTGAACCAAACGTCATTGATTTTGTGCTTTTTTCTTTTTGTTTTCTGTCAACTTTCTATCTAAGTTAACCTGCAGACAATTTTTATTTTCCATTTTTGTGGAATGTTTTTTGCCTAAGTGATTGAAAACTGGCAAACCGACTCGGAATCCCCTGAGTCAGTCGAACCTATGGGGCTCCCTTGTCCTGGATAGTCCTGAACAAGGAAGTTGATAAGGTTATGCAGAACCAAGCAATTCTCCCCAGTGATCAAAAAAACATCGATCCGATCCGAAACCGGGTAATCTGGATCGGGTATTGACTGGGTCGTTCCGGATTCAGCCATAAAACGGGATCTGACCGTGTCTGCACAAGAAATTGGTATTATGACATCATCAAATGACTTGGGAGGGCATTTTTGTATTTTTGTTTAAAAATCGGGGCTATTGTAGTCATGTGTGCCTTTGTCAACCACAGCTCCTTAGCACCACGTGTCCCTATCAACTATGGGCACACTGCCTCATGCCTCATCATGCTTTTCAAACACGCGATTAAATGTGGTACTGAGGAGGGTTTTATTCACGTCTAATGTCTTTTATTTTTCAATGTGGGATTTGAGCATGGAACTTATTGTGAATAAAAGGTAATACGCTTGAAAAGGTAATACAATATAGGCTTTTATTATAAAAAGCAATGCAACAAGTGGTGTTGTGGTGTAGTTGGTTATCACTTCTGTCACACAATTAAAGGTCCCTAGTCCAAACCTGGGCAGCACCATCTTCTTATTTTTCTTGTCAAAAGAAAACAAGTATTTCTTGTTAAATAAAAAAGTTATCGTAAGCTTAAATTAGATATGTAAAGGTAATACAATATAAGCATGGAGCATGTTAGCTCTTTTTCTCTCTCTCATATATGAATGCCTATTGTTAGATTTTTTTTTTTTCTTAGAAATAAATGGTCTAATTATATTTTTTATCTTTAGAACATGGTGGTCTTTAACATAAATTTAGGAATATTAATTTAAACATAGGGTTCTTACAATGAGGCCATTTGAAATATATATATATACTAACAATCTCTTCCACTAAATTTATTCTAGAAACCTAATAAATTAGAATTTTTGAAAAATTAAAGTGTTATTTCAAAAATTGGTATGCATTCTAATAATTTCTACATTGATACCCAAATCTTGTATTTTATTTATTAATTTTTTTACATTATAAATTATGTAATATACTAGTTTTCTTACAGTTGTCAATAATATATTTTAAATTAGATGATATTATAAGATATTTTGGATTTGTTATTATTTATATAGTAAAATAATTATAAAATGTAAACCAACAATTTCAATTTCAGTATATAATATTATAGTTAGTTAAGTTGTAATAATTTTGGATTATAGTTAGTTAGGTTGTAATAATTTGGGTTTTTTTTTAGTGGATTAGGGTTTTTCACCAATTCGAGATTTTGGTGGCTATATTTTCATCAATTTAATCTATTCTTTATTGTAGTCCATGTATGATTATATACTTCATCCATGATAAATCTAAGATTTTTCTTTTGTGTGATGTAAATTTAATGGTTAACATTCATATAAAGATAGAACATCTCAGTATTCACATATTGATGAAAAAGAATGTAAGTTAATAATGTAGTACCCCATTTCTTATTGGATTCCTAAAAAACAACATTTATAATGATTTTTAATAATTTTTTTGGATTTTTTTATTGACCAATTCGGCCGATTCCCGATCAGAACCGTCACTTCACTAATCCGGATGGGTTTTTGGGATGCCCAATCCATGGCACCAATTCGTTTTTTAAACCACTGGTTCTCCCTACGGCGAATCACTTTGGTCTCGTACAGTTAGGTTCTCGGGGAATTCCTAAGTTAAGCTCTTATCAAGGCCCTCCAATCTCCATTTTTCTCAATTTTTTTATGGGACTTTTAGATTATGGAGTTTTCATTATGCATGTCTAGATAATGCTAAAAAGTGGACTGTACATTTTTCAATTTTTTAAATCAATTTAACACACACATAGAGGCTTGCTTCCTAAACAACGCTGTCTAAGGCTCTCAAGGTAGAGAGCTTAAGCTTTGATCAATCCAAAGCTCCCGCTCCCAACAACTATGGACCAATTATACTTAGTATTCGAATAGGGTGAGGGAAGACTAACCAAGTCATATCGAATACAGGTTCAGTTGTGTGGCAAAGACTTGCATAGGTGAACAAACTCTTGAATACTTCTATTCTCGTTCACTTCATAGGCCACATTCTAATTAACTATTTTAGACCATATAGATCTTTGAGATGGTTTGTTTCTACAAGCTGGTATGAACTGGTTGTTATGGGTATTAGTTCCAACGTTTAATCAAAGCTTTTGGAAAGACCTATGGCTCAGAGATTTTACTTTGGGAAACCATTGGCCAAATCTAAGGGCCGTTAGGGTACGTGAAAATCTATTACGTGACAATAGATTACAAGGAAATATGGCATTTACACTGTTTGGGTACACTTTACTAGTAAAGAAATGGAAAGACATTACCCGAGATTACATGAGATTTCTCCAAAAATAACGAAATCCATTACGTGCGGTAAGAGGTGAAAAATCTATTACGAGGTTGACGGGTAATCTTTGAAAATATTTCGCGTGGGTCTCTCTGCCCTATACCCGCTTAAAAAAAATATTTCCCTCTCTCAAGTATACGTTGTATTGTATAATTAAACTAAATAGAAAGTGAAAGTTAGGGGATATGAAAAGGGGAATCTAAATTGATTTGAATAGGTGTACGAGACCAATTTTCTACTACAATCATAATAAAAAAATTTTACTTTCCTCTATCGCCAATTTGGTTGTAACCCTCATTTGACTCTCATGTAAAAACAAAAATTTTTATTTTTAAGAATTGGTAAGTGAAAGTGAGGGGAAATCTAAATTGATTTGAACAGTTGTAGAACTTGATGAGGGACAATTTTCTACTGCAATCTTAATAAAAAAATTTATACATCCCTTTATCTCCAATTTAGGTGGTAGCCCGCCATCACCTCTTGTATAAAAACAAAACTAATAAAAATAATAATTGGTAATCGATGAGAAATTACACCACACAATCATAATAAAAAATTCCACACAACATAATCCTCATAAGAGATTAGTAAAAGCTCAATTGAAATAAGATACCTCTTTAGTCTCCTTCAAAAATTTCTACTGCAATTACCAAACCTTCTAGTTTACTAATCAAACTTCTTCCTATTTTTTAACTTGTACCGTAAAGATTTTGATTTTAGTATCATAAATTTATTGCATATTTGAAATTATATATAGAGAGACATTTGAAAGACTTCTATAAAAAATAAATAAAAATAAGGCTTATCACAATAAAATCATGTTATTCCAATCATATTATTCCAATGACTTATCATGTTGAAACCAAAGTCTAATCATGTTAACCAAACATAGCCATATTTTTCATATTTTGATGGTAATGCATTTTTCATATTTCTTCCATACATAGCCAAACAGTAGCAATGTATTTCCCAAGTTGCATCTAAATACTACCTAAACAGTGACAATCCATTTGCAAGTAATGTATTACGCCCGTAATATATTTCACAGACAATATATTTTCAGGTATCCAAACGGCCCCCTAATGACGATAGAAGCAAATCCCCATATCACCATAACGCTCTCTTCGGAAATCAAGATGGGCTCTATTCTGTGGAATCCCACTTTCCATAGGGCTATCTAAGACGAAGTTGTGCTGATACAACACCTAAAGACCTTATTCCTGCCTCGAGAGGGAATGGACTATATTATCTGGGCCACCATTCCCAGTGGAAAATTTACAGTCTCCTTCAATAAGGCCCTTAACTCAAGCCCTTCGGTCCCCTGCATTACAAATAAAGTATGGATCATCCCGATCCACTACAATGTACAACTTTTTAATTGGATCGCATTATCCAACCTGCTCTCACCATGGATCAGCTACAAGGGGGTTATCAACTCCCTAATTGATGCATTATGTGCAAAGAGGAATCTATTTATCATCTTTTCAAACACTACGAGGTTGCCACCCATGGCAACCCTTTTGGAATCCTTTGAGAGTTTGGGCAAAGCCTGCCTCGATCAGGCAACTTTTCAACCATCATCCCCCCCCCCCCCCCCCCAAAAAACTAATAATAATAATAATAATAATAATAATAAATAAAAACACGCAACAGCCGTTAAAGGTGTATAATGATTATACTCTTATGCATGTTTTTTAAAGCAAAGCATCTTACCTCTACAGCTTGCAGAATTGAGAAAAAAGAGAGATCATATAAGCACCAGAATTTTCATTTTTTGAAATTTGCATGAGAAAGTTGTGATACATGTAGGAGGAAAAGCACAACTGCACTAACCCAAATATCTCCAGCAGTAGGGACACTTCATCGTCACTTGGTGCTTCAAGAATCTGATTCATAGAAAAGAGTTAACCTGCGGTTAACCTCACATATCAGAAAATATATGACAGAGCCTCAACTAAATAATGATAAATCAAATTAGAGCCTACCTTCAAATAGTATCCAGAAATGTGGTTTCAATACTGAAAATCTTTGTGATAGCCTTAAAATATATTTTAATTTTAATTTATAAAGTTTAAATGCTTCAAAAATAGTGTAGATCGACAGATCTATGAAAACTTGAAAATCTTGAAAATTGACGGACCAAAAAGCATTACAAAATACACTATTTATAAAACCTGAAATCCATTTTTCTCTTATGTCCATGCATCTTGATGTCGAGATGATCAATTTGAATATATTTGAGTATCAAAATAACCTCATCTAGTGAAATTTTTTAGGTAGGCTCTAATGTGATTGCTTCAAGCCTTGGCTCTATATAAACTTTTCCCTAAATAAAAATTACATGAAAAGCAGTAGAGAAGAGGCACTGCACTGATATTATGTAAATTTTATCTATTCAGATTCACTTACTATAAAAACTATAAGTCTGGGTGATACAGTCAAGCAACTTTATAGGTCACAATTCTGAAACCAGACTTTGAATATGCACTCATCAATGCAATCCAGGAATCACATTATGTGTGATATGGGGACTACTCCAATTAAAAATGAAGAAAATGGAGGATCCATAGCATTAATGACATTCTTCTTATAGTATTCTTATAGTTATAACGAAACCACAAGAAACTATTGTTGTATCAGAGAAATCTTAGGGCCCTTCAATGAATCAGAGATGCCTTCCAAACTGCCAAATGGAGGTGACTCATGCAAAACAGCAGGTCCAGATGCGTAGCACATAAGTTAGTAATCAGCCTCATCATTAGTCTCTCGCCATATGCTTATGAAGCTCTTCTAACAAAAGTTAAAGAGCAATTGTGCACATACTTCTTAACAAGTACGGGTGTTTCACTCCATTTTCACCAAAGGGTAAGGGCCCAAATCCCTATTGACTTACCCATAATTTTTCCCCACTGACTTACCACTTTTTCGTCCCATCGAGGACATACGAAGATAAGACAAAAAAAAAAAATTTCACCAGCAAGAGCGAGTGCCACCAGCATGAGCCACCAGATCTGGGTCCAATAGCCACCAGATCTGCGAGAGCCATACTGCGAGAGTCACCAGATCTACGAGGAGAGGAGCCACCAAGATCTGCGAGAGCCATTCCTGCAAGCCACCAGCCACCAGCGAGTACTGCGAGAGCCACCAGATCTGCGAGGAGCGAGAGCCTCTCCACTCAGGGCTCCAGAGATGCTGCTTTCTGAAGCGTGTATGTTTTGATGGCTTGCCCACCCCCTTCTGGTGTGCCTCTCCCTTTGGAGAGAAAACCTCCTGATCTTCAAGAGCTTCTTTCTCATCTATGTGGAAGTAGTACTGCTATTTGTTTTGGTGGTGCTGAGCCCCTTAAGGATAGAACCAAATCTGTTCGTATTTCTAATGGTGGGCGTCATCTCGGTAGTGATGGGGATGGATCTGGTCATGATCCTATCATTTCTGACCAAAGATACATCAGCAGAGATGGATCTGGGTCTATAGTCTCTGATGTTCTAGCTTTGAAGCCAGATTCTCATGCTGCCTATCGTGTGGTTTCTGGGTCTGGTTTTGGGGAGATGCCTGCGAAGAATAACAATTCAAAGGAGTAATGGTGCTGCCTTTCGTGTGGTAGCTGATGATAGTATTGTGAAAGTTAATGTTATGGGTCACAATCTTTTGTCTACAGAAGATGATTATGAAGCTGCCCACTTTGGGGAAGGTTTGGGTGTTCATAGTTCTGCCCCTTGCGATGATTTTCTTCCAGATTCTGGCTTTGAAAATCCTCGTACGGGTCCTGCCCCGAGATCTACAGTTGTTCTTGATAGGGTCATTAGGAGACCTGTAAGGGAGGCCTCTCCTCTCATGATGGGCGTTTCTAGCAAAGGCAAGGAGGTGGCTGCTACTCTTTGGAAAAAAATTTGGGTAGTAAGAACGACCTAGGATCTACCTCGGGTCTTCATGGTGAAGGTGTCGTACGGGAAGAGTTTCCATCCTTGGTTCCAAAGAACAAGAATGATAATTTAGCTAACAGCTGTTGGGGCTCGGGTAGGTCCTCAGACCTGTTATTTGGTGCCAAGGGTGTCCAAAATGGAGTCTTTGAGGAGATGGATACTTCACCTACTGAAATTATCAATGGTAAAAAATTTGTCAAAATTGACAAGAAGGTGATGGATTCATGTTGGAGCCGGTGGAAAAACTGTCTAATGGGATACTTCTTGGGCCGCCAACCTGATTGGAACTACATGAAAGAGATGTTGAAGAAGATGTGGAGGCTTGAGCGGGATGTTGAAGTATTCTCCGCTGATGGGGGCTTCTTTTATTTTTCGTTTCCATTCTAGTAAGGAGATGGAGGTTGCCCGTATGGGGGGACCTTGGTTTATCAACAAAAAATGCTTGGTGCTTCAAGAATGGGATCCTTCAATTCAACCCTCTAGGCGTACCCGTCATATTGTGCCAGTTTGGATCAAATTGACAAGGTTACCATTGGTATATTGGGAACCAGAAATTCTTTTTTGTATTGCCTCCAATGTTGGCAAACCCATCTTCGTGGACAAACCGACAAAACTAAGATCAAGGGCTAAGCCAAGGGTGTGTGATGCATTGGATCTATATACCATTTGTTAGACTGAAGTTTGGCCGGACTTTTTTGGGAAGGAGTATAGGCAAGAGATAGTCCATGAGTTCATACCCTCGATCTGTTCCACGTGTCAGAGGGCAGGCCACAAGCCCGAATTATGTCGAGCAGGCTTTAGTGCAAAGGTTTCCATCAAGGCCAGTGCAACAATTGTTCCCAATGGTGATATTTCTGTTAAATTACCCTCAGGGGAAGAAGGTTGATGGAAGGTAGTCAAAGGGAGACAGCAGTTAGTTTACAAAAGGAAGGGGAACGAAAGCATTGTTGCTGTTCCACCCTTCCCACTTTGTCAGAGAAGAATAATGTTGTTGTCTCTCTTGCTAACAACAGAGTAGATCCGAAGGATATCATTTCTAATGCTTTTGCAATTCTAGCCAATGTCCATGAGGATAACGAGGGGTCTCTTATCGAGCAAGCAGTTAGCTCTTCTGAGCAAAATACAGTCAACACTTGCATTCCGATAGGCGATTTTGATATGCAACAAGAGTATGAGGTGACAGTTATGACTCATGTTGATAATATTGGTGTGTCTGGAGAGGTCGTGGTTCCATCGCCAGTGATTGGGACGGCACCTGTTGAGGATGGCGACTCCTCGTTATTGTCTCTGGACAAACAGGCTGATGATAAACATGTTGCCCATTCTAAGAAGATATGTGAGCACAGTCCCAAGCAGGTTAACGTCACTGCCATTGTAGAGAATGATGGGGAGGAGTATGATGTTGAGGGCCGTTTAGATCACTTGCTTATTAAGGATCCGAAAACCCTTGGTCATGGCCACAGGGGGACACGCTAGAGGATGGCATGGGGAATATTGTTGGTGATCACAACCCTAAGCACATAGCCGATAAGGTGGATGTTTCTAGTAAACGAGTGCAGGATCATGCGAATAGTGAAAAGCTTCCTCAAGCTCGAACTAGGTCGCAATTAAAAGCTTATTTGGCAGCTTCTGGTGACAAGAGGGGCCATTCTTCACCAGGTATAGATAATACAAAAGGATTAACTCCAGCTTCTATTGGTGACAAAATGGGGTTAACCCATAAGGCTCAGAGTGCTCTTACAGCTCCTGAAGGTAAGGTCCCACTTACCAAACGTCCAAACCTTTGATTTTATTTATGTCTATTGCTGCTTAGAATGTCAGGGGCCTTCGGGGCCAGGGTAGAATATCGGATATTGGGGTTTTAAAAGGACAACATAATCTTGGTCTTATTTTCTTATTGGAAACTAAACTTCTTGTGGAGCTGAGTCGTAGTTGTCTTGTGGAGCTGAGCTGTAGTTGGTCAAAAAAGTTGGGATTCTATAATAACTTTATTGCTAATGAGATTGAGGGTAGATCCAGAATTTTAGTCCTTCGGAATCCTCTAATTTACTCAATCAAATTGATTGATGTAAATGATCAAATGATTACTGTGGAGGCTACCCGTATCTGTAATGGAAACATTTCAGTGATTTCAAGAGTCTATGCCTTTAATTATGTGTCCCAACTATGGTACCATTTGAGAACCTTAGGAGCAACTATTGCTCTTCCCTGGCTGTTACTGGGGGATTTTAATACGCTATTGGATCCCTCGGAATTAGTGGGAGGGAGCAATTCTCTACCACCAGACTCGGGCAATTTTGCTCAAGTAATGATGGATTGTGCTCTTGCTGATCTTAGTGTAGTCAGAGGATGGTTCTTCTAGTCCAATAACCAGTTGAGCAGAAGATGCATTCGAAGAAGGTTGGACCGAGCATTAGCAACCACTGATTGGATTTTGGCCTTCCCTGAATCCAAAGTCCAGTTACTCCCTAAAGGTACCTCAAATCATTGTCCCTTACTTGTCTCTATTTCTGATCTGGGTCCAGTTGGGCCCAAGCCTTTTTAAGTATTTCTATGTGGGAGCAGCATCAAGGTTTTCCAGATGTTATTTGTAATTCGTGGCGAGGCCAAGTGGGGGGGTACTCCCATGTATCGCTTTGTTGTTATACTTAAGAGGCTCAAGGCTGACCTACGATTGAGGAGCAAGGAGGTGTTTGGCTTTGTTGGGAAATCCATTGCTGTAGTTCGACACCAACTATCATCTTAGAATGATAGCCTACACATGGATCCTTCTAATGAGACATTCCATTCTCAGGAAAACGAGTATACTCAGAAATTGCAAACTCTTCTGGCCAATGAAGAAAGATTCTAGAGGCAAAAATCAAGACAAAACTGGTTAAAAGAGGGGGACTCCAACACCAAATATTTTCACTTATCGACTGTGGTCAGAAGGAGGACTGATAGAATTATCTCTTTGAAAGATC